TACCAACTATAAGCCAATCCTCAATCTAATACTCAAATACAAAAAAGGTTGTCCAAAAGTCAAAGTGGTCAAAGAGTTAACGGTCAATAGTCAACAGTCAACGCACCGACGCAACACACCAATAGATGGACATGTCGCATCCACTAAATGACAAAATAGTCATGACTAGACCTTGTGAGATACGTCACAAACTTCGTACCTGAACGTATCGATTCCCAGTCGACTCACATTCAACACCTTATTGGGTTATCATTACACTGACATATAGACTCCTAAACTCCTAGCCATCCTCTTACTAGGCTCGAAGGCTCTTGGCCAGGCACTCATAGGACCATCCACATAACATAGAAAAGACTACTCTAGTCTACCTATATATTCGTACACTAATTGTAATCATACATCCTACCACACAAGTGCATATTCTATTACACATAGTATATTGAGAAAATTCATATGAATCAAGCAACTACAACTTCAAATCAGTCCCCACCAACAAAAAAGCAAATACAGACTTCTTATTACCAATTGGAGGCCAATCCTCAGTCTAATACTCGAATTCATCAATGTTTGTCCAAAAGTCAAAGTGGTCAAAGAGTTAACGGTCAACAATCAACAGTCAATGCACCGAGTCACACACAAATAGATGGATGTGTCACATTCACTAAAGGACAAAATAGTCATGACTAGAGCTTGTGAGTTGCCTCGCAAACCTCAAAAAGACACATCACATCTAATGTCTTAACAACCTCTTTTGTTCGGTTCTTAATCCCTTAACACGGAAGCTCATTCTTTGTGGAAACCATTGAATAAAATTCTAAATTGATAAATTTTTCAACTTATTCAGATCAAATCCTTAAATTAGGTAAACACCAAGCCTAGATCCATAAATAGGCCAAAAGAGTTAAAGCTTCTTGCATGGTTCAACAATTTTAGGATTTTGAGTTGTAGAATGTTTTCTCTAGACTGATTGGGATAGATTGAGACTGAGTATGATCCCTCATTGAACCATGATCATATGGTATCTAGTAAACAATTATATCTTTTATTATGTTTTATGATGGCCAATGGTATCTTGGTATATTTTAGTAAGATTTTGTTGAATATAACTTTATTTTTTTAAGGCTAGAATAGATAGCAATGTAATTTTAAACTTTGTTCTTTTGAAAATGATGTAATGATCTTTTGGTACTCTATTTGGTGGATTTATTTTGGTAATTAATTTACTACATTGTCTTAATGGCAATTTTTGTAAGTCCATTGCCCTAATGGCAGTTTTGTTTTTCATAAGTACCATGCTAGATTCTAAGTAAATTGCTTTAGTGTCAATGTATGTTGCTCTTAAGTATATTGTCATAATGTCAATCCATTTTGTTTCCAAGTACAACAAATTAATGGCCATGTATGTTGTGTTAAAGTTTAATGGCAATTTATGCCCTATGTCTTGTTGATTTAACATGTTTGTAACTATATTGACATATCATGACCATGTGTAAGTACATTACAATAATCATCTAAGGGACATGAAATGAATATATAATACTCTCAATATTTATAACTTCGTCTATATTTGACATAAGATTTGGTTAACCATTAAAAGGGCCACAACCACTAATCCATAACACAAAAATACAAGACAGACTTTTACTTTTTTTCACTGACATTTGAATGTAATTGCATCAAAAAACCCACAATATTGTATATAAAACTTATATTTCCTTTCATTCACATATTACCAAAACATTACATGAGGTTCAAGCTTTGCACCCAAAATTTACAAACAAATAACTACCTAATACAACCTATTTATATGTGAAAGACGAAGTAGATGGAGACGAAAACTCAACTCAAAATTAATAAAATTTTGTATTTCCTAGCTTTGAATATAGTAGAGTTCAATCATATCATCTTTCTACATTCCATACAACTCTATCAATTTTTCTAAAAATGTATTGAACTCTACAAGTTTAATAGAACATTAAAAAAGCTAAATAATAATATATATTTAAGAGTTAGAAACTCTACTTTTTTTTCATTAAAGATTTCAATGACCATTGAACTCCAAATTCATCGAATGCCAATGTGGCATCTCACAATGATAGAGTTTCATCCATTGAATGAGAAGTGGACTTGCCACCTTATTCAACTCTCTCATTGAACTCACCATTTTGGATGCTCTAATTAGTAGTGGAGCTGGAAATAATGGACATATTTCATGTTATCTTGAATTGATTCCTCTTGATAACTAGCAATTTCTCGAATTGTCAACATCCATCATTACATTTAAATCATTTTCTTCTCTTCTTATCAGTTATTCTTATTGTTTGGCTATTTGGATTGTTTATTGAGTGCATATCTTCGTATATGAGATTTTTATAGAGGAAATCAAAGTTCATTGCCATTTTAGTAATATGTCGAATTAATACGTATTGTGGATAATCTGAACGAACCGTTAGTTAAAATTATTTCAAACATATATTTATAATATCACATAGTGCACATCTCAGATTCCATGACGGGGATGTCGTACATCACTGAATAGATGATGAATCGACCATGCAAAACAGCTCGATACTCGACACAAAATTATTCTCACATTGACGTGTCAGTTAACCACACATGCTCCATCATCAGAATATGAGTAAAATGTGCATTTTCATGGCTAGCATATGACTCATGTTTTCGATGTATATAAAACGGGAATGTTTTTTATTACATGATTAATACTTTTAATCTTGAAAAACAAAATTCGATCGAATCCTTTCGGTAACTACACTCTCAAATTACAAAAGGCAGTGAGGATGGTAAGCACGAAACATTTTAAAAACCAACCTTATTAGGAATCATAGAGACCTCCTTACACCGGTATTAGATTGTGTGTGCCTAGTCTTGATTTGATTATAATGTTTTTAGTTAAACATGCGAGGAAAAAAGTATAATTTTTATACATATAGTCAAGTATACCATATGGTAAATTTAAATCTTTTAAATTTATATTCTTCTCTTTCTAATTTAATTCACTCATTAAATAAAGTTCAAGGCAAATATTCAAATTTTAATTTCAAGTTTAAATATTAATCAAATATTCAAATTTAAATTCTATTAAACAATACTTTAAATTAATCTAAAATTCGATTTTATCAGATTTAAAGAACTTAAAATAATATTTATGATAAATATTAAAAGTTTTAATTCAAGTTTAAATAATATTAAATTGAAACTCTAATTAAATAATATTCTAAACTAATCTCCTTATGTGAGTATTCAGATTTAAACAATTAAAACAATATTTTAATCAAGATGTTAATCCCAAAATTCAAATTTTAGGAAAAAAAATATGAACTCAAAAAAATTGGGCCGGTGCACCGCATCCGGGAGAGGGTGTTTCGCACTCTGCGACAAAGTCACAGCTTTCAGTTTTCAATTTTACCAAGTTTGTGCTAAAAATAAACATATTGGCTCTAATACACTGTTGGAGTTTATTAGCATCAAGTATACAACAAGAAGGTAGCGAAATAATCTAGTTTTTTTACCTAAGTGTACATGCACCCTAAATCTATGTTTTACTAGTTTTAGCAACATACTTTCAAATTGAACTAACAGAAGGATAAAACATTTACCTTTTGATCCTTAAATCATGTGAATGATAATCTTGAAATTGAGGAAGAGCCCAAAGTAGAACTCCACTAATGTAGTTAGACCCAAGACTCCAACTAGTTAATAACCTTGGATACTATATACAATAGGCTATACTTCGATAATAGGCTATACTTCGATAATTGTGTTGTAAATATGATCACATGTTAACAATTGGTTTTACTAGATATTATTAATAATATCTATGTCTATGGTTCGTTGTTACAGTAGTTAGTAGTTAATCTGGATTGGGTTGGACTACCTTTTTAAAAGTTATTTTTTATTAGAAGGGTGAGAAAGGCATTTATCTATTTTGTGCAAATGAAAGATTAAGGGGGTGTTTGGTTTATCTTTTAAAACCATCTTTTAGCTTATAAAAGCTAAAATATGTTTGGTAAAAGCATAAAAATCTAGTAAAAGCTACTTTTTGATATAAGGAAAATGAACTTTTTGGAAAAGTCAGGTAAACCTGACTTTTTGCAACTTTTCCTAAAATGACTTTTGTCCTCTCAAAAGCTAAGCCAAACACCCCCTAAGGCTAGTCTTTATCCCTAACTTTTTATCCCCTGTTTGACTATTTTTTTTGGATGTGACAAGAAATTGCAATTTTTTTGTTTTGTTGATAGGATATATTTTTTTTTCCTTTGGCTTAATGAGTTTAATGGGTTAAGCATTTAATCTAAAAAATTATATATGGTTGTTTATTTTGATTTAATTTAGGTAAAATGACATAATTTGTCCATTGATAGGGTTGTTTTTTTGCTATTTTATTGATAAACCTTTTTTTTAGAAATTGTTATTTAGTGAAGAACTATATTATTACTAACGTTTTTAAGGTGAAGTGTCATAGTAAAAAGGGTGCAAATATTTATTTTATAAAGTACATTGTTATTTTTGAGAAGACATTATTATGAAAATTATTGAGGGGGTGCTATAGGGTTAAGTGAATTCATAGCTGTACGTTGTAAATCAATGTACAGTGTGAAATCAATTATAAATTAAAGGTTTTAAATCAGTTTTTTAATAAAAAATTTATTTTCCCATTTATCAATTGGAAGAGAGAGAAGCATGGACAACTAGAGAAACAACAGATCGATTGTGAGGGTTTGTAAGGCTAGCCGGACAACCCGCAAAATGGGAGAATCAGATCAAAAGCATAAATTGATGTATACTGATCATTTCATTGCCACTGTTTTGATTAAAAGTTGGGTAGAAAACCTATACACGGAAAAATAAAAATTAAGATGCATTTGTACGTTTTGGTATTGGTATAACAGTGTATAATAATGAGATAACTAGATTATTATCTAGATTATTTCACATGAATGAAGGAAAATGTTATACTCGGAAAATTTCCCAATTTATTATCAAATCAACATACAACTGTAACTTCTGTTCTTACCAAAAATACTACGCCCATATGTGGCACTCATCAGCTCTATGACAAGAGGGAGCTGCAGGGTTACAAAAGAAGTAATTGGTAGGCATGTCAACACAGCTATAGGAATAAGAATCCGTGAGTTGCTTTGGCCAAATACAAGGTATAAAGTTGCAGCAAAAGCTACTATCATGGCTGTTGTTGAGATGAACAAGGTGGCCAAACCAATTACCAACTTTGTAGGTAACTTCAAGAGAAAGTCTTGTTCAGCGAAACGTGCAGTGAGAATTGACAAAAACATTAACAATGAAGTAACAGATGCGAATAATGATATGGCATCTGATATTGCAAATACTGTGAAAGCGGTGTGATTGGTAAAAATTGGTATCCCCTTGTTCTGATCGCTTCCTCCGGGCACTGTAATAGCTGCTGCAAACACAATGGTGATGATTAGAGCAGCTGTAATCGTGTAGGACTCCGCAGTGGACTTCATCCATTTTTCTCCCTCAATGACAAGGTCCTTGTGTTCTCTAGTAAATAACATTTGTGGTGTTTCATTGTAAGAGTTCTTTTGTATGATGCTCAAAGGAGACACAAATCCTTCAACTTCCTACAAGATTACAATAAAGCCAACCATGCTTAATAAACAATCGTTGATCTTAGTTCATCAGGTATGCTGCTTTTGAATCATAGAGATTCCTACCTTAAACCATTGAAGTTCTCGTTGTATCTGTAAAGCTGCCCCTGAGATAAGATTAAATTTTATGGAAGGTGCCAATCTTGCAGCCAAGTGCAAGAGGTTATTCCCGGAAGAGTCTTTAATTGTTCGATATATATTCCTATGTTCGCTCATTTGATAAAGCAGGTTGTAAACCTTTTCCGAGCGATTTATCACAGCATACTGAATAATGTTGTGACCATCTTCATTGGCACTCAAAATTGCATCAGGGAAGTGCAAAACAATTTTTTCTACAAACTCGTAGGCGTTTTGTCTAGTAGCTTCAAGAATTGGATATCTGTAAAAGTGATGGTAGGAGGTGGGGTGGTTTTCTCTCTTTATCAACCAAGATACATTCTGCAACAGTTCCATAGCATCGTCATGAATTCGAAGTCTCTCTTTAATGAATGGAGACACTGCAACATAGACCCAAATGAGCATCTAAAATAAAGAAACAGACCCCTTTTTTCTCTCTCTTTTTTTAAAGTGATACAATGATGGTACTTGTTGATCACCTTACCTAACATCTCAAGAATTTTCACGAAAAGGGCAAGGATGAAGTAAGTCAGGATGAAGTAAGTCGCTGCATTACATGATAGAATGTTTGTTAGAATGATGGGGTTAGTTATGGAATGTGCAACCAACAAGTTAAGAGTTTAAGAAAAGACAAACTCATGACCTACCAAAAATGATTGGGAGGATCAACCAGAAAACCCATCTTCCATTAGCAATATTATCTAAAACGGGTTCAACAAAGTCTTGTACCCTCTCAAGTAATTCATCAGTCACCACTATTAATATAAAAAGTGGTGAGCAGGAAGTTTGGTAGAGAAGCTATATAAATAATTTGACAATGTAAAGGAACATGCAGATCAATTAAGATGAAAAAAAAAACAACAAACCTATATCATGTATAAAATCGTTGATTTCTCTTGGTAAATTTTGAGCTATAGCCATTAGCACAGCATCAGTATGCAATGTTTTGTAATGCACCAACAGATCTCCTGCAAAGCCTACATATATTCCAAAGTAAGTCGTATCAATTATGTAAGTGGGTAGGTCTTTTACTAACAGTCGACACTTACCAAAATCTTTAGAAGAAATAAGAGTAACTAGAAGGCCAACCCCGGTTGTGCCAGAAAACAGAGCATCCTTCTGTATATCATCATCAGTATCGATGTGTTGCAGCAGATGTCGGGCTGTTTCTTTATGCATATTAGAAAGAGCCAAGGCTAGTGGGGTCTGACCCTCGTTGTCTTTGGCTGACAACAACTCTGGGTTTCTTGCCACCAAAATGTCAGCAGCTTCAGTGTTGCCAATAATAGCAGCAACATGAAGTGGTGTGCTTCCATCTGAATTTCTTAGATCCATGAGTTGTGTGTTCTCCGGTATCTTTTCCAACAACTTCTCTAGGAATCCCGACTTCTTTGAAGTACCGACTGCTACATGGAGCGCAGTGTTGCTATTATTGGTGATTTTGTCTGTCACTGTAACACTTCCAAAATCCAATGCGCTTTCGATCCCATACCAAAATCCTTCTTGAGTATCTTTGTATAACATTTGGAGATCGTCTGTTCTGTTTTTATCTTGTGATTTATCTATATTTGCATAATTTTGTTATGAAGGTAAAAATCTACAAGATACAAAATATGTGCTCTGATGTAATCTAATCTAATCAAAACATTAGGGATTTTAAAGGATGATGAAAAAAACAACCTTTTTTTCTATGTAGACTATTATATCCGTTTTGTATTTACTTTGTATCTATTTTGTGTTTTTTGTGTAAGCAATTGTTGGGCTGACTCAGTCTTTTTAGCGATTATACACATATTTATCATATTAAAAGTAGCAGTGCTATTATGCTTTGGTTTATCTTAATCACCAAGTCAAATAAAAGATAGATAAGCAAAACAAGTGATTGCATGTACCTTCAACTACTAGCAGGTCAGGTAGAAAAACAACAGGAGCATACATATTATGGAGCTCATCCCATGCATCTTTTGCACTAAAATCAGTTGCATTTCTCTGTTGATGGAGATGATCTAAAACATACCCTAGTGTCGGTTTAGAGAGTGAACCAAGAATCCACCCCTTCACAAGGGGATCTGATCTTCTCCACAGCCTGTGATGAGTTTCAAGTTCATCCACTTTCTCCTTCCCTGAAACACTACTACTACTACTGGCTTCAGGGCGCACGAATGTACCATCAATGAAACCAAGCATACCACGACTCTCTAAGAGACATATTATCTGTGTTTTCCACATACGATACTCATCCCTACCACTCAGCTTCACAGTGGTAAAGCTTGTTGCAGATAGATTTGATGGGTATGGGTATGGGTATTCTGCTCCAACTTGGAGAACGACATGTGAATTAGAGCTTGAGCTTGAGCTTGCCATCTTTCTATCCTCTTTTTATTTTTTAAATCTGTGAATACTCCTTCCACCTCTTACATGTTTAAATAGAAAGATAGAGTTGATTTGTGGTGCCCACAACAGCAACATTAGAATTGCCTCCTCCTCAAGTGATTCCCATCATGTAATAATGTTTTAAGCAAAGAATATCAGTTTAAAAAGTTAATTATCATATGATTTTATTGGGAAATTTATTTATCATAATATAGTAAAGTCTTAGGCTAAGAATATTTAGATTGTTGATTACCACTTCTGCTTCACCTCCTATCACCCGTCGTTGTCTCCGTCTTTCAAATTCATGCGATTATGTGAAGAAAAATGGGACTTGACGAACATATTTTTGTCAATAAATACAAGCAAAAGACAGCCAACAAAGACACTATGGGTATGTTTCAATCAGTTGTTGTAGTTATTTTGTTGTTTGTTTAAATGGACAAAATTAGATACTAGATCAACCCAAATAACTAGTTCATTATATATTATTAAATTTAGATACATGCTTTCATCTACATTGAAATAATTACGATACAAATGTAATGTTCAGTTATTAGTTATACATTTAAAATATCATTTGTTGGCATATTGTAAGTAACTGTACATTTTTGTGGGATTTCAACTCCCTTTCATCATGTTACACCAGGCTGGACAATCTTAACAATACATACTCATACACCAAACAATAGATAAGAACTGTTTCAACAGTAAACGTTTACTTATTCTTGTTGTTTTTTGTTGTTGTCAATATTCCTACCACCTTCTTACATATCTTAAATAGAAAGATGGAGCTGCATGCTTTAATCCCCACATCTGTCTAAAAGAAGTACTCCCCTCATATAATAAAAGTTTCAAGCAAAGAATATCAATTAAAAAGGTTATTTACCAAATGATTTTACTATGAAATTTATTTATCAAAGTATACTATAACATATAATCAATTCGGTCATTATGGTCGTAATCTGTTATGGATTTCAAGGATTTCTGACCACATTCTCAATAAGGCCCTCATATCTCTTCCTTCTCCATGCTCATTTTATGGAGAAAGGTATCAACAACAATTGGTTTTATTACGGTGAAGCTCATAATTTTCATATCAATCTATTATATACAAAAAGCCTTATAGGACCCGGTTATATAAATTAAATAACCCGGTTTTGAACCGGGTCTTATTGTCAGCGAGTCCTATGTGAAAAAAATAAAATAAAACCCGGTTTTAAAACCGGCTCCTATCAGTCTACAAAGGACGCGTTTCGTTTTTACAACCGGCACTACAAGAAAAATGGGTATCAAAGACTGACATAATCAGTCTCCGATGGTCAATAATCAGTCTCTAATGATAAATCAGGGACTGATTTAGCTAGTCCCCAGCTAGTCCCCAAGACCTAGTCTTAGATAGTCGGTTTTGTATGTATCTGGGACTAAAAATCAGTCCTTAATTCATCAAAGTATCAAAGACAGAAAATCAGTCTTCAATAATATCTCCTTCAGTCTCTAATTTATTTTCTTCAGATCCTCGATTTGATGTCATATCAGTCCCTGATATTATCTTTTAGGGACTGAATATCAGCCTTCTATAATTTATTAGTCAGTCTCCAATGTTTTTCATTGGAATCTCTATTTTATGTCATATCAGTCTCTTATACTATCTTTAAAGGACTAAATATTAGTCTTTGATACTATCAAGTTCAATCTTCAATATATTTTCTTCAAGGCCCCACTTGTAACATATTAGTCCTTATAATATCATTTTAGACACTTTTTTTTTACAATAAAACATTTAAATTACGAAATTAGCTCCAATTTTTTTATAAACTTAAATGGATTATAAAAGAATAAAAAAACAATTAAAATAATCAATTCAAAACACAAAAGCATTGCTTAAACTAAACCTTAAATGATCTTACAATAATATTCTCAATATCAATAACAAAAATATCTTCCAAAAGACTTAATAAGTCTAAACATTATGCTAGTAATTGCTCAAAACACTAAACTATCAAACTAAATAATAGTCCAGGAAGAAACACAAAAGTTGACATGAAGATTTCCTTGGCATATTTGCTCCTCTTGTTTATCCAACTTATGAACAATTGCCTCTAATATAACCATAACAAATCACATAAAATATGTAAGAATATCACTAATATCACACCACATTAAAGAACAATGACAAAAATAACGACACAACTTTCAAACTAATTAGACACAAATTAATGTAAAATAAATAAAAAATTGAAGTAGATAGATATATTACCTTCCAAAATGATAACAAGATCTCTATGTTTGCTCAAACTTATAGTACCACTTGCAAACCTACAATAAAATCAACTAATGATAAACATGTGTAATAACACTAAGCAAACCAACATAAAAGCAACAATCAAAATTACCGTATTGCAATAAACTCATGATAAATAAGCTAGTAGTGTATCATTTCCAAATGAATCCATCTATAGTATCTGTATATCAAAATATAAAAGAAGCACAATGGTAAAAGAAACAACTTGTGAAACCTTGGAATGAAAATACTTGTCAAGATAGTATGAAACAAAATATGAATGCTTTTGTTCATAGTCAAGGAAATGGAAGTGTGCGTTTGAGAGTTTTTTTAATACTTGGAAAATAAGAGCAAGAGAAAACTACACGGATGGTCCCTGTGGTTTGTGGAGGTATTTTTGTCATTTCACCATTTCAAGCCTCTAAAACCCACCTGGTTCATTCTTTTCCTCAATTTCTTCTTCTCACTTCTTCCCTTCGACATCAATGGCTGCTGGTCTGGCTCCGCCACTATCCTCCACGGAAACAAGCCTATTATGCTATACACCGGAATTGACTCTGAAAACCGCCAAGTCAAGAATTTGGCAGTCCCAAAGGACTTATCCGATCCATATCTCAAAGAATGGGTGAAGCACGCCGGCAATCCATATCTCATCCGGATGAATTCAGAGACCCGACGATCTTGTTAATTGGAGTAAACATGATTCCCCACTTCATCAAGTTCCAGGAACAGGAATATGGGAATGCCCTGATTTCTTTCCGGTGTGGGTTGATAGCACGAATGGGGTCGATACATCAATATGAAATGGAGATTACTAACACTCAGCAGTTTAAGGCTTGATTACGGGAGGTACTACGCTTCCAAATCATTCTTTGATCCTGTGAAAAACTGAAGGATAATTATGGGTTGGGTGCACGAGACTGATTCTGAAGCTGATGCCATCGCTAAAGGATGGGCCAGAGTTCACGTAATCAAAGATTCAATAATTTCACTTATCTCCTTAATTACATGAAAACGAAGTTAGTTTTCAAAATAAGAAGCTTGAAGGTGGTTACATGAAATTCAGGAAAACATCAATGTAATACAAAAAGACATAGACGAAGAGAAACTTACAGTTACACGGAGGGTGGTATACGATCTAGGGTTGTGCAGGGTGGAAGAGGGTGAAGCAGGGGAAGAGGGCCGAACGGAGAGAGACGACTAGGGAATAGAGATGGAGCGGCAGAGCAAGGCGGTCGATCTAGGTTAGAGATGTTCAGCGGCGGAGCATGTGTTCAAGGAAAGGGGAACCACGAAGAACACTCGTTCCATCTTCTGAATTGAGGAATTTCTGAAGCGGGATTTTATGATTTGCTTTTTCATTTTTCCGCTATGTAAGAAAAAGAGGCTTTTCTCAAAAATCCTTTCAAGTTACATTTTAGGGTTTTTAAATATTCTGATGAATTATTTATTTTTCTATGAAATAAGGTGTTTTAAATATTTTAATTTATTCAAATTAGTTAAAATAATAATTTAATTAAATAAGATATTATGGATGTCTATAAAAGGAATAGATGATAATATGATCTTAGATTTATTAGAGGGATAATAAAAATTTGAGAAAAATAATGATTTAAAATAATTACAAAATGTTTAAAAAAATATTTTGGGCAACTATGATATTTTGTAAGTTTATGAATGGTAAATAAGAATATTTTAGGTTGGGAAAATATAATATTTTGATCTTTAACATGTTTTAGGAACTAAAATAATTATGTGAGTAAGCAATTACTTGAGACTGATATTTAGTCCATGATATTTAGTCTCTAATATATGATATATCTGACTAAATAATAACCCCCTCAAATACTAAAATTTTATTCCTAATGATTTTTCAGATTCAAAAGTAGCTATTCTATCTAAGACTGAACTTCGGTCCCAAATAAGATCCCTTTGAAATATTATTCGTGATTGATTTATCAGTCTCTTATATATGACATTTATGACTAAATAATCAATATTAGATACTAAAATTCAGTTAGTTATAAGTGTTCATTCAAATTTCAAATAGTTCCTATTTATTAGGGACTGAAATCCAGTCTTTGGAAAGTTTCACATCTAGAGGACAAATTGGTGCAGTTGTATCAATGACTGAAAGTCAGTCCCTAATAAGTTCAATGCACGATCAAAACTGAAACAGTTATATCAGGGACATAAATTATGTCCCGTATAACTTTCCATCCAAAGTCAAAGTGGTCACTAGACTATTTGAGACTGAAATTCAGCCCCCAATGTGTTCCAACCATACATAAACTAGCGCAAACAGATCAGAGACTAGATTTTAGTTTTGAATAAGTATCGTCAGTCTTTAATGATTCACACAATAAAATCAGTCTTAGATAGTATCTGAGACTAATTCATCAGTCCTAGATACATGGTATCCAAGACTGATTAATCAGTCTCTGACATTTTAGTCACAAAATCCCCTTTTTCTTGTAGTGCGGGACATATAAGTCCTTTCAACACTACATTCATATGCAAAATAGAACCCAGTTCTCAGATAAACAACCGGGTCATTTTTCTACATAATTTTTTTTAAGTAAAATTTCATAAAAACAACAATATTGATACAAAAAACCTTAAATTTACAACTTTTATGCTGTTATTTTTGCATTTAACCAATAAAAAAGTCGCTACCTAAATTTCTAAATGAATTCTTAAATATTAAGATCATTAAGATCCTATCTTACAAAACATCTAACGAGATCTCATATGTATCCGATTGAGAGGTTTTTTGCATGCCCCCACTATTATCTGTAACAACCCATTATTTCACGTCAAAAATAAAATGTTAAATAAACCCAATATCAAGGAATAAAGTGATAGCAATCATTACAAGGATTCCGAAGATATAAAAAATACCGAAATCTGAGTTATAACGAAGAAGTTATGAACTATTGAAGTTCCGCGACAGAACCGGCACGACACTGTGTGTCATAAAAAGTGAGTTTACAATAAAACGCTTTTGAGCCTTAACAATCAAAATAAAAGTCGTAAAAATTCGTAAAACCGTGAACGTACATAAAAAGAACGCTCAAATCTGACTTCGTATGAAGAAGTTAAGATTTTTCTAAGATTCGGCACAACAATATACAACCCAAAAATCGAATTAAAGATCGAGCAATTTTTAGGTGACACAACCTAAACGAGAATCGAAGGTCTCGTCAATAGTATTACAACAACAAAAAGACTGACGAAAACGGATGTCGGATGAAGAAGTTATGAATTTTTAACAGACTTTTCCTGTCCCGGCCTATTAAAAATATAACTTTAAAAATAAAGTCAAAATTAGCCGATAGAGTCTAAACGAAAGTTGTATAGCATGGTCTCACCTACGCGTGGATATAAAGAATGTCAAAAAACGGAGCTCGTATGCGAAAGATACAAATTTTTGAAGTTTGGAAAATACAAGTACGCCCCGCATACAAGAGTACACCCAACGTACTCGGAAGCTAGGCCTCGGATTGACCACATCGCCTCTTACTTCGCTTGCAAAACGTGTCTAGCACAATCGACACGTCCGAAGCCACGTAGCCACTACGCCCTGCGTACGAAAAGATTACGCCCAGCATAGTCGGACTAGCCTCGACGAGTATCTCGTAGCCTCGCCACGTCCGAAGCTCGGAACCCGATTAGAGGATATGTATCACTGTACACCCCACGTACGAGACGTACGCCCAACGTACTACTGCAGTGTACCAATATATTACGCCCAACGTAAATTAGGAGTTCAGCTACTATAAATAGGTTGCGAAGTCTCTGGGTTTTGTTTACCATTTTCAACCTCTCTCTCACCTTAAACACTCTTTCAAGCCACTTTTAACCCCCCCCCCCCCCCCCCCCCCCCCCCCCCCCCCCCGAAGCCTAGAATACCCCCCCTAACACCCGAAGAAAGCCAGGAGCCCCGAAGTTCTCGAGAAAATAATATTTTCCAGTCGAAACTCTGCCCGCGTAAAGCCCGGTTTTTCTTCAGAAACTCGCGGTTTTGACAAGGAAAATCATTACTAGAAACGGAACGCTGCCCAAATCACCACTTATCAGGTGAGTTCATACCCCCCCCCCCCCCATATTTTTCCAAGCTTTTTCAATGTTTTTAGGGGGGGGGGGGGAATACAAGTAAAACACAAGAAATTTTGTGTTTTAAAATATAATTTACTTATTATGTTTTTCTTACCATTATTATGTATGAAGATATGAAACTTGTTGAAATCATGGAAATAAACTTACAAAATTGTAATAGGTATAGTTTATGGATCATATGAACTATTTTACAAAGTCCAGGTTAAAACATGGAAATAAACTTATAAACTATAATAAGTATAGTTTATGAAATAAAGGGATCTTTTTACAAAATTACTTGTTAATTATAAAAAGGTTTTCGCATTATTACTTGTAAATTCGTTGAAGCTAATTGTGAGACACGTCTTCGTGTACTTACCTAAGTACCAAAGGAAGTCTAGTCTTAAGAATCAGAGTCTCGTGAAGGGAGAGCGTGAGTTTGTGTATAGATCTATACGGGATTGACAATCCCACACCCTGACTGTTAGCTACAGTTTGACCGGCAGGTTTGCGGGTGACAAACGTCATTTTTGATATTGACAAACGATTCATGTCATATCAGGTTATCCGTCATATTAGTATGGTTATAAGAACTCACCAGGAGAAAACAACGATATATTTACGTAGTAATATACTTTTTCTTAAACAATCTCAAGGGATATTAACTATGTGATTACTCAGTATATACAATAGGGTTAGATAACTTGAATGTGTGATTTCCGCCTTACTTCCCGTTCCTTGTTTGGTTGTGGACTTACGGGCAGATTCACCCATTCAACTGTCTGTTCGATCTCGGTTATATACAACTCGTATGTATTAAGTGATCATTGGAGGGTAGTATCGTAACATCAAGTTTTTAAGTCAAACACATCTTCAACTAGTTTTTCTCATAAATAAAACTAGGTATCATTAAACTAAGTATGGTAATTATATTTGTGCTTTTCGGTCTTAGAATGATTAAAACTACAAATCAGTTTTATAGAAATATAGGATTTTCTATGATAAAATCATTATTTTAAAGGTAAACAGCTTTCAATTTAACTTTCTGAAAACAATAACAATTATTACTGAAAACAATGTTTTACAATAAAGTAAGTGCAACTAGGAACATATTTACAAAAGGTTCAACACTTATTTATAAATTAGTATAACATAAAGGACCTTTAATGGTTAATTCTATAATTCCTTAGTTTATACATCAGAGTTATATATAAATAATATCCGATAGGTAGTGGAATGTGTGACTTCCGCCTTACTTCCTGTTCCTTGTTTAGTTGTGGGCTTAGGGCAGATTCACACATTCAACTGTCTGTTAGATATTAGGTTATATATAGTTAGTATAAACTAAGTAATTATAGAAGGGACTATTATGGTTACCATTTTACCAAGAAAATATAGGATTTTCTGAAGGAAATACATTCATTATATCTAAAATAATCATTAATGTTAATTCTGTGATTACTTGGTGAATAAACTAGAGTTATATGTAATGAAGATCCGGCAAACAGTGGAATGTGTGACTTCCGCCTCATTTCCTGTTCTTTGTGTTGGTTGTGGGCTTAGGGCAGATTCACACATTCAACTGTTTATTCGATCTGAATTATATATAATTTGTATTCACTAAGTAATCGCAGAAATAACGAGTACGATCATATTACTCATTAAGAAAATATAGGATTTTCTGGAGGAACGGACGAACTTTTCCAAAGAACAGAGAGTATACTTTTTATAACAAAAATACTTATGAACCCAACAACTTTATTATTGACACTTTTTCAAACCACTTGTATTCTCAGGAACGTTAGTAGACAGGTACCCTCTCAGGTGTTGCGAAGACGGAGCTTTACGTCTTATTTTTTGTTATAATTTTTAATGTAAATCATATAATGTTTTGAACATAATGTAAACTTTATATTATTAATACGATGGTTGTTGTTACTTTGATTACTATGATGCATGCGTTGTGATACTTAACATGACGTTCTTTACCCCCGAACGTTTCCGTCGTTCCGGTTTGGGGGTGTGACATTATCTATTTTCATTCCCGGTAGTAGTAGCAAGCTCACCCCTTAAGTGTCGAACAACCGATATAGTGATTTCAATGGCCACTTTTTTCGTGTACAAAAGCTTGAATCAGAGGCATTGACACAAACCTTTTTGAAACTACCCACAAGAATCAAGCATCAATTTGCCTGCAGTTATTCATTTTTTTCACTTGAAATTCCAAAATATATTGAGCCAAGCAAGGTAGATGTGCACCT